GAGAGAGGGAGTCACAGACTGAAACAGGCTCCAGGCTCCGAGCTGTCAGTCAGCACAGAGCCCGACGCGGGGCTCGAACCCACGAACCGCGAGATCATGACCCAAGCGAAAGTCGGACGCTTAACCGACTAAGCCACCCAGGCGCCCCTGTCTGATCCCAGTTTGTACAAATTCCCATTTGTACAAGGCCCTTTGTTTCTGTTCTCTCCATCACAAGGAAACTTGAGGTCACCAAGCCACGATGCCCCCTGACTTCCCGTCCCCTGCTTATAAGCAAACCTACAATGGCCCCCATCTCTTCTTTGGGGAAAAGCACAACTCTTCTTCCTTCTCCATGTTACCCTCCCACCCCCAGGTGCTCGTGACGTGTCCGCCCTCCCTCCTCCCTGTTCTCACAGCATGTGCTTCCCCTCGGGCACCAAACACGCCTCCACCTGCCCCTGAATGCAACACCTCCTCCTGCCTGCTGCCCTTGAAGCTGCCTCCCTCCCGCTGGGGCGGCCCAAGTGCCTTTTCTCCAGCTCACTCCCCCAGGGCCCCCCTCACTCCCAGCCCTCACGTTCTCCACCAAAACCCATGTTTGAAGGCCCTGTTGACCTTCCAATGACTAAATGCCGTGTTTAAGTTCATCTAGGAGCTCTTGACTCTGTTGACCATGCACCGCCTGAAAAATGCATCCTTTCTTTGATTTCTAGGGGGTCCTTCTGCCCATCTGGCTACTCCTTTTCTGTTTCTTCTGTCCCCGGACTCTGTTGCTGTGAGTCCCATGGTTGGTCGCCCCAGCCACCTCTGCAGAGCACCCCTAAGGGTCATGCTCACACACACGGAATGCCAACTCCGTTGTTCCACCTTGAACCTTTACCCTGAGCTGATGGCCCGTTTCCCAAGAGCTTCTGGAATGTCACCTTCAAGTGTAACAAGCCTGTGATTGAATTCATTATCCCAGGACCCAAGCCCGACTCCTCTGGGCTTATGCCCTACATCAATGGCGTCCCAACCTTCCCCAGTTGGATGTCACATCTTATCTCTTCTGCCCCTTGGATCTGAATTGTTCTCTTGCCTGGACTGCTTTAATAGCCTTTAATCTCTCTCCCAGGTAGTACTTTATCTTCCTTACAGCTCATCTTTTGTCCCAGGAATAGGCACCAGAATCACTGGGCAGCTTTTTCTTTTTCTGTTTCTTTTTTTTTTTAATGTTTATTTATTTTTGAGAGAGAGAGAAACACAGAATGAGAGCGGGGGAAGGGCAGAGAGAGAGGGAGACAGAATCTGAAGCAGCTCCAGGCTCCGAGCTGTCAGCACAGAGCCCGATGCGGGGCTCAAACCCACGAACCGTGAGATCATGACCTGAGCTGAAGTCCGATGCTTAACCGACTAAGCCACCCAGGCGCCCCTACTGGGCAGCTTTTTCAAAGAATATTTACCAAGCATTTGCAAATGTGCCCTCTCGTTTATGTTCACACCACATTCCCAAGGTTGGCACACTCTTGTATAGTCCCATTTTACAGGTAGAGGCGGCAAAGAACTTGGGGAAGGTCTCATTGCTAGTACTGGAAACGTCTCGATGAATGAGCACAGCATTTATTCATTCTTATTTATTTACATTCACAGATTGTGTTTATTTATACTCATATTCCCAAAGCTGTTTATATATTGATTTAAATGAAAGTTCTTCCTTTAGTAAATGAAGCCGCTTAAATTTTACATTTGTGCTTGACGCTAACAGCGCCTGCCTCGTACTTCAGGAGACTGGCCTCATCAAACGTGCTTATGTGATAACGCTTCTGATCCAGACAAAACACCTTAAATAAATAAATCATCTTGAGACTAGAAATACACGCATCATGGTAGTTAATTGTTCTCTCCTACTGGGGTTTCCACCAGGATTCTCACACACACACACACACACACACGCACACACACACTCCTTACCTTTCAGCACTTCACTTCAAAACTTACAGCTTTATTCATTCTACATCACTCAGATTTCCTTTTTTCCTCATTTTGGCTTACAAAATTGTCTATTTTTAAACACGTTCCAAGGGCACCATCTAATGATACACAATAGAGAATCACAGGGCTTTTCTTTTTTTAATGCAGCTTTAAAGTTTGTGGAATACATTTGAATGTGTTTGCATGCTACGTGGACTTTTTTCTCTGTTACATATGCTTTTAACTTTTATCGTGTATATATAATACGCGGTATAGAACAGATACAGAAAATCACATACAGAAAATGTATAGCCCAATTAATATTAGGACCAAAACCCTTGTAGCTACCATGCGGGCCGCGGCAGAATTCAGCCCCTTCCGTGGCCCGGGGCCCCTGGGCGCCACCCCTCCCCCCTGCTCCAGAAACCCGCCGCCCTGGTCTCCTGATTGTCACTTCCCGGCATTTTCCTACAGTTTTATCACTCAGGTGTGATCTCTCAACCCTGTAGCTTGGTGTTGTCCTTTTTAAGATGTCTCTTAAGTCTTTTTTTTAATGTATAGATTCCTCCCTTACCTCTTTTTTCTTTTCTATGTAATCTATTTGGTGAAGAAATCAGGTTGTTGGACGTGGCATATTCCCATGGTTGGGGTTTTCCTGAAGGCATTGCTGTAGCGCCATCTCCCGTGATCGTCTGATCTTTTTTTTTTTTTAATGTTTTATTTATTTCTAGGAGAGACAGAGAGAGAGAGAGACAGCGTGAGCAGGGGAGGGTCAGAGAGAGAGGGAGTCACAGACTGAAACAGGCTCCAGGCTCTGAGCTGGCAGTCAGCACAGAGCCTGATGCGGGGCTCGAACCCACGAACCGCGAGATCATGACCTAAGCGAAAGTCGGACGCTTAACCGACTAAGCCACCCAGACGCCCCAGTGATCGTCTGATCTTTGTGTTTCCTGTAAACTGATAGTTGGATATATAGACTGGACCAGATTCAGGTTCAATTTTTTTTTTTTAATGTTTTATTTCTAGGAGAGAGAGAGACAGCGTGAGCAGGGGAGGGTCAGAGAGAGAGGGAGTCACAGACTGAAACAGGCTCCAGGCTCTGAGCTGGCAGTCAGCACAGAGCCTGATGCGGGGCTCGAACCCACGAACCGCGAGGTCATGACCTAAGCGAAAGTCAGATGCTTAACTGACTAAGCCACCCAGGCGCCCCTCAGGTTCAATTTTTAAATGTTTACTTATTTATTTTTTAGAGAGAGAGAGTACAAACGGGGGAGGTGCAGAGAAAGAGAGAGAGAATCTCAAACAGGCTATGTGCTGACAGTACAGAGTCTGACTCGGGGCTTGATCCA